ATCTGTATCTCTATCTATCTATCTATCTATCTATCTATCTATCTATCTATCTATCTATCTATCTATCTATCTATCTATCTATCTATCTATCTATCCAAGCAACTCCAGTAAATAGTTATAAGCATAGTTACAGTTATAAGTCGAAAGGAAGGAGAAAACTGCTTTGAAATTACTTGTAAGCCCATGTTGCTTTCCCTGCATCCGTTTAGGACATCCTGGAGAATGACAGCATCACCTTGGACTGGATGTTCCGCTATTCGCTCACCAACGACATCGTCAAGGTAACCGAAGGATTGAAAAAGAGATTTTTAGACTTAGACGGAAAGTCATTTGCCATTATGTCCTCTGATCGTCATAATTTCTAACGACCCCACAATCCCTCGCGGGGTGGAGTTTGGGCAACTTAATGCAACTGGAAGAGTGTTTTTACCGGCTGGATGCTCTTCCCGTCACCGCAGTGGAGTTTTGTTCAGCAGATATATTCTCAGTGTGCCCAGAGAGAAATAATTGCCTCTACCTAGGATTGAACTCACAGCCTCCTGGTTGTGGAGCCAGAGCTCTAGGCCACCACACCACTCCTTCTTCTGTCCTCTGATATCCACCTGAATTCCAACCCCCCCCTCCAATTTAGACAAATTTGGCTCAGGACAATCGAGCGGGGAGTCCCAGTGCCCTCCCCTCCCTGATGATCTCTCCTCTCCTTTCTTGCTCCCGTCCGTTCTCTCGGCTTCAAGGGGATGCTTTTCCTGCACCACAGCGTGATCGCCTACCACGGCAACCTGAAGTCCTCCAACTGCGTGGTCGACAGCCGTTTCGTGCTGAAGATCACCGATTACGGGCTGGAGAGCTTCCACCAGGCACCCGAGATGGATGACTCACACGCCCTGTTTGCCAGTGAGTTGCTCTCGGGGGGCTCAGCGGGAACACGAGGGTTGTCAAAACCCCAGATTTAGACCCCGTGACTGTGGGGATGCTGCGATAGTGTACGTGGATTGACCGGAAGTCCCTTTTTGTTGTGACTTCGGACAGTCGCTGTGCAACTACTCGTAAATCGAGGACTTCCTGTAAATTTACCTGCTAAGATCGATGGGTCTTTAGCCCCGTCTGATCCAAATTCCACGTTTCTTTAGAGAAACTCTGGACGGCTCCCGAGCTCTTGCGGTTGGGCCCCAGCAACTGTCCGGGAACTCAAAAAGGAGACGTCTACAGCTTTGGCATCATTTTGCAAGAAATTGCCCTGCGCAACAGCGTCTTCTATGTGGAAGGGGTGGATCTGAGTCCCAAAGGTGAGGAGGAAAAAGAAAATCTAAAATCTCTCGGTATAATTTATCCTTGTTTCTATCTTCGTTTCTCGCAGGAAATCTAAAACCTGTCCACATAACCTATCCTCATTTCTTACATAAGATATAAAATTTGTCCGGTAATCTGTCCCGGTTTTTCTCCTCGTTTCTCGCGGAAAATCTAAAATTTGTCCAGGTAAATCTGTCCTGGTTTTTCTCCTCGTTTCTCGCGGAAAATCTAAAATTTG